TGACAAGCTGGTTCATAACGAGGGATACGTAGTTGGATGTGTAGAGCTCGAGAATAGAGTCCATCGTTTCTCTGTAAATGAGCGTATGCTTTTGTGTACGATCAAAGTCGTCATCGTCTGGTTCCTCTGTGGTCAATGATATCGAGGCCATGGTGGAGAGGATTCTAGCATGAACCTGGTACCCTTCCGGCAGGAGGACATTTTGGCCTTGAAGCTTGATAGTATTTGCCAAGAGAGTAATCTTCTCGTGATTTGAAAGCCCCTGGAGAATAGCGTGGTCTGTGGCCAACACAGCCGAGCAGCTAACCAGAGCTAGCTCGGGATCTGAAGTCTCTGGATGGAAGCCAGCAAGAAACGAAAGGAATTGGCCATCCGGATCAGCGGAATTGACGAGGAATATGCATTTTGTAGCGGTGGTTGTTCCCACAGCCTGGAGTTTTCGGATGATCCCTCTCAAGGCCTCAGAAGGACCACCAGATCCATACTCAAGGAGCAACTTGTACAAGTCTTCTGCAAGCTGTTCTCTCACCTTCTCTCTAGAAAGCAAACGATTGATCAGCGCATACGTGGCACGAACGCTTCTTTCCTTCAATTGGCCTCTCAGACCCTGTACTAGCTTCCGTAACACCTGGTCGACTGGAGCGTCCCTGGAGCAGAATCTCGAGTATAAGCCAAACTCAAAAGCGTAACGATGCCAATTGCCGTTTTCTTGCCAATCCTTCACAAAATTCTCCAGGATCGTGTGGAGCTCTTGCCACCTTCTGACGTACCGCTGTATCAAAGCAGCACTGCGTTCTCTGTTTCTCTGATCTTCTCGCTGCTGCCGCTGCAACTTGGTTTGTTCTAGAAAGTTCCGTCCTCGAGGAGGAGCACGGCGGTCGCCTAGATTGACCGTTCTTTTCTTCGTTTGTCCAGTGAAGTTAAGCATGAAGTGGTTGGTAATCAGCTGTAGCTTTATGTGGAGGACCGAGCCACCCGGGGAGAATCGGTGGTGATATTGTACAAAAGTGATGGAAAATGATATGGGGCGATAAGGGGAGGATATTGATTTTTGGAATTGATTTGTCTCTTATGGCTGAAAAATTGTGTTGATGAGTGGTGACATGTATGTTGAGAGGGTACTCAGTGCATGGACACAATATCCAACATAACGATATCCAGCACACTGGACTCTGACAACAAGAAACAAACTTAAATATATTTCTTTCAATCCCTATATAAGCAATTTTGAGCTTCACCTTCTACTGCCTGTTTGTGGACATTCTGTGCTTGAGTCTCGCAACCACTCATACCTCACCTTACATCTCCACAGTTCACCTCCAATTTCCATACTTCACCGGCCATGTTGATGCTCATCATGATTCGTGACGAGGAATATATTCGTGAAACTATTGTCAGATGGAGTATAAACGAACCAGATGTGATGTTTGCTTTTCAAGTTGAATCGGTCTACATTCCCTCACCAGATCAACATAGCTGAAGCAGCTCAATTGAGGCTTTTAATTATCCAGTGGCATCTTTGAAGGGTGAGTTATTTCTGAATATTTCAACCAAATTGTGAAAAGCCACCCCTGGCAAAGATCGACTATAAAAGCCAGGGAAGATCCTCGCACTCGCTTTTTGCAGCCAGTTACTACTTATCATGAAGACCTTTTCCCGTGTAAAGCTCACTAAACAGGTCAAAGTGTATTCACAAACAACACAAAATTGTCTCTTAGCATTTCCCAAAAAGACCAAAAAGCCTAAAAAGCGTCCGTCGTTCTCGTCTCCAAACTCTTCCCTTTCAAAACATCACAAAAGATCGAAAGGCACGGTTGGTGTCCAGAGTGGTTCAAGGATACAGTTGAATAACCAACTTGAATCAGATTATCCTTATGAAGATGAGCCAGACCTCAATCGTCGCAAGGTGTTGGCTTATCTGGCCTCTATCTTCAGCGCTGGTCTTTTGGCATGCTTTGTATACCCTGAAAGCGCCGTCTACAAGGAAATCACAGGTGTGTCTTTCTTTGTATTACTTATTATCTGTATACTCTAATTTCTGAGAAGCTCTAAAAGGCGACCAACGGACTCGACGTAGTACAGGGGCACTAGCGACTCATCCTTCTTGTCCAACAGATCCAACTCCTCCTGAGAAGTGCCTCCACTGAGAACAAGCAAGGACCCGCCAGCGTCGCCCCCAAGCTTGCCGTCATTACCAAATTTGACGTCAGTGTAGAGAGTGTCTCCGAACATCAATGTCTTCTTACGGTCAAACAGGCAGCTCTCAATGATGTTGTCAAGAAGAAGGGGACTTGGCTTGCCGACATCAATAAAGTCTCTGCTCGAGGTGAAGCTCATGTAGTTCACGAAGGAGCCACCGGCTGGCAAGGTGGTGCCAAAGGGACCGGGGTAGGTCTTGTCGATGTTGGTACCAATGAACGGAATCGACCTATTCTTGTGCAAAAGGTACTGCAACGTAGTTGCAACACGCAAATAATTTAACTTCTTGGTGGAACCAATCACCACCGCCTTGACATCCTCGTCAACCTTGAGCAACCGGTGCGCAGGGTCCCATTCCTCGTCAAGCGCCTCGTCATTACCACCTAGTGGCACGTATCCAGCTTCCTTAAGTTCGTGCTCGATTCCCTCGTCTCCAAGAACCCACACTTTAGATCCTTCAGGTATCTTGAGATCTCTTTTGAGAATAAGCGCTGCAGCATAGCACGATGGGAAGATGATATCCTTTGTCACATCTGGGAATCCCAACTTCTCAAACTTCTTCTTGTAAGTGTCTCTCGAAACCGACGAGTTATTGGTGACAAAGGCGTAAGTCTTCTTCTTTTCCTTGAGGAGCTCTACAAACTCCGACGCTCCGGGAATTTTGTCAGGACCAAGCCAAATGACTCCATCGCAGTCAAATAGGAAATGATCAAACTCCTCAAGAAGCTGGAGTGCTTCTTCTTTGGAGGTGACCTTCTGTGGTGCAGCTTGTCTAGTCATTGATAAGGAACAAGTGATAACCTCTAGATTATTACCGGCGCGAAAGAGTCAGACCTATACCTCAAAGTTGGACTTTCCCAATAATGCAGTGAATTTTGTAAAGGTCAGTGCCTCAAGAATTTTCCAAAGCGTAGAAGTGGCAATTTCAATGTCATTCATGCCGACCAGGGTTTCAAAGCGTTTGACAAGGTCACTTGTGTGGCTCACCATACCCCAGATTTTGCACTTTGCAGCCACCACCGAGCGAACAGAATGGATGGATTCGAGCTTTTTCGATGCTTCAATAAACTCTAAGTTGTCCACGGCGTGCTGCGCAGAAGAAAGTTCCCGTACTACAGCCTGGACGAGTTCAGTGAAGTCGTTGTGCTCAGGAAGAAGGAACTTCTGGCAGTTGGTAGGTGACTCAAGGCCCAGTTGAGCATGATACCATTTCAACGGGACTATTTTGAGGGCCTCGCTGTATGTTTCCTGGATCAGCTCTAGCGTTTCAGAGAGCTGAACATCCACACTGACGCCACACTTCAGTAGATCAAGCTTCCCAGTGTATTCTTCCAAGCATTTCACAAACTGTGGATCTGTAGGATTTGGACCCTTATGGGTCACGGACACTGTTGACATGCTGGCGTTGCTCTTAACATCAACCAAGTAGGATAACAAAACAACATTGAAAAGCACCAAAGTGCCGATGAAACTGAAAAATAAGAATCGTCCGAGGTACGGGCGGCTTGGAGGTGGCACCCTCTCCACTGTGTAGCTCCTCATATTGTGTATTGGTCACTAGGTCGAAGAGGATCTAGTGGATCTACTTTCGTGACTACTGGGGTGAGACAGCCTTATCTAAGGGTGCAGGAGACACGATAAGCCCACTTTATAGTAACACAACGGGGACATCAAAGACGCGATTTGTTCAAGAGAAAATGGCTCATTGAGATGATCAGGTTGTTATAAGGGAATTGTGAAAGAATTTATATTCAGCGTTGATGGGATTGCATGTAAAGCCCTCCTTACCTGACATGGAGCTCAATACTGATATCACAAATTGGAGTAGACGGAGGCAAAGTATTTCTGCTTCTTCAGGAGATTGGCTATTTACATGAGGAGCTTTTTTGTGCCAAGTTGCATCCAAATCTGTTGTACTTATGTTCATAGATCCATTTCGCAGCCATCAAGAGCCGAGTCCAGGTACCAAAAACTGTCCTTAAGCTAAACTGTCCTTAAGCTAAACTGTCCTTAATCTAGAATGAAAAAATACCCTCGCAGTTCTCTTCAAAACAGTATAACCCCCAAGCTTCATTCAAATTTTGGCTCAAACCTACCTCAATTCGGACCATCCACAATATACTATGGAGATGCGCACCCTCATCGGAAATTTCAGTCCAGTAGTACCTTCATCTCCAACTAACCACCAAACTCAACAGTCGAGATCACAAATCCTACTGAAATCAATATGTCAGCGGAAGTCACGAACAAATCCACACAACCAGAACAAAAGGACCTAGATCAAGAGAATGTTACAGCAGGCGTAGCTGAGCTCAGTGTGAAGCCGAAGAAGAAACAACGAAAGGAGCAAACCGAGGAGGAATTTGAAGCACAAAAGGCACAATTCGCCGCCACAGGGCCCCAGATAAATACTCAAGACTGGCTTTTCGACCAGGCCCTTCTAGACAAGCTAGACAATCTGAAAAAGACCGACAGGGTCCACATGCTCCATGCTTGTGAAAGAGCGTACTACCTCAGGGACTATTCCAAGTGCATGGAGCTCATAGGTCAAGCCGAGAAGCTTTTCGGTGTGGAGCTTGAGGATTCATCAAAGAACGAAGATATCAAGCTGGACTTTGCTGATGCTGGCAAGAAGACCAAAAAGTCACTGAAAGTGGAGCGCCACGTCGTCGACCTTTTGCACATTAAGGAGGCTTGTCTTAAGAAGCAACAAGAAGTTTCAAAATAGAAACTGTCACCAAGACCCCACCATCATAGCATACCACCAATAGCATAGAATCATCAATAACACAGCAGGGGTATTAAGTTCCCCTCTTGAGCCAGATTTTGATATCCACGTAGCTTGTCAGTCTCTTCTTGAACGTAGCCTCCTCGTCGTCGCTGTCTTTGGTAGAGTACTCCAGAGCTTGCCTAAGTTCATCAAGCACCTCTACTGTACCCGTCTTCACGTCCACCTTGTACTGTTTCTTTGTTTGGAAGTGCAAAGCAATAGAAACTGCCGTATTGATTGCCTTTCCCATGCCTTTTACCGTGATATATCTCACCTTCTTGTATTCACCCAGTTGGTACTTCTTATGTCCCACACCAGAAGTGTCGAACTTCTCGAGCATCTTGTCGATTCGCTTCACCGCCAGCATGTAGGGTGTAGAGCCCTTGACAAGAAATGTCGTATCAAGTGCTGTTTTGTTGCGGAGCTTCGTTCCAGGGTTGTGTTTGATGAGCTTTGGTTCCATGGAGTAGTTAGCGATGCGATGAGATTGGGGTGTAGTTGAGGTGAGGAATTTGGAATTGAAGTTTTTGTTTTTGTTTTCAGGGACTAGTCTTTTGAAATGGCGTGGATGAAACTAACAAAAGCGTTGAATTCAATTGTTCGTGGATTTTGGAGTATGTGTGTTGTTTTGGAAAATGGCTGCGAAAGAGTTGACTACTTATTTTCAGGCATGAGACCAGTAACTTCCCATATTTCACGAACATACCTGCCATAAACTTGAACATATAAAAAGTTAATTCTGAAACACAGGTTATTTCATTTGCGGTAACAATAGCGTTAATTATCGTACATCCCTCTTTTTGGTTCCAATTGTCTCTTAGTATCACCTCGAGGCTACAGCCTGCGAATAAGATTCAGCGATAGTCCTATAAATCAAGGCAACATTCAGAAGCTACAAACACAAAAGCTATACGAAATCAGCTCATCGAATACACTTCACAGCCTTTTCTCATAAGATCGAATATCAAAATCAATAAATCACCAAATAAAGCCTCACCCCCAGACGACGCCTCTCATACTACATCGCGTTTTGGCGCGTTTCTCATCTAAGCTTCAGAACCACCAATACTACCATCACCAAAACATGTCGTCCCCTCTATCAGATTGCTCAACGGTATCACGAAAGCGCTCCAGAGACGAGTTTGACTTTTCTTCGCCAATCAAGAAAACACAGACACACCAGATCCACACTGAAGCTCACATCCACACAGTCAATAGCCTAATGGAAGCACTGAGGCGACAGAGAGAGTTCCCCAAAGTCGAAGAAGAAGAACAGGTGGAGGAGGAAGTTTCCAATTACCAACAAAGACCATTTTGGCCCGCTCTCCAGACGGTCAAACGAAGTTAATGAAGAAAGAACATAGAGGAAAGGTTCCCTCGAACCACCTACAACCTAACGATAATACACGTCAACACCAGTCATTTTCCTGATTGCTTGTCCTGCCTTATTACATATCCTGGGAGCATTGCTCCGATCTATAAAGATGAACCAGAGGTCCATGTGCAACCATTGATCGGCTGTATAGCTTGCTAGGAACGGGGCAGTAGAACCCCTGAGTATCCTGATGTGAAGTATCCTGTGGAGCCCCAGACCCGGGGACTCCCCGGAGCCTGGCCTGCTCAGGCTCTAGCCTTTCTCTTGGCCTTCAACAACACCTTCTGTTTCTGCTGCTCAGCCTCAGAGTCGGACTCCTCCTCGGATTCGACCTCCATCATATCCTCGTCTTCGTCCTCAGACTCAACCTCATCCAGCTCGGCGGCAGCCTCCTTGGCGGCCTTCTTCTCGGCCTTTCTGCGCAACTCGACCTCTCTCATTCTCAACAACTCAGGGTTCTCCTCCACCAACTTACGGTCAAGAGCCATCTGGCGCTCCTTGTTGCCACGCATACGGTTCTTGTAGAAGGCACGCTCACGCTTCTGTCTGATCTCCTCGATTCTAGACATGGCCTTCAAGGTGGTGGCCACCAACTCACGGTTGTATCTGACAGGGACGTTTCTTCTCAGGGCGAACGTCAACGTCGAGTCGACGACCAACTCCTTACCGGCAGCCTTTCTAAAGGCCTTGGTCCATCTCAACTTTCTAGGGTTTCTTCTCTGCTTGAAGGCCTTGTGGCACTTGGCTCTGCAGAATCTGAACTCCTTGGCGTCGTTTCTAACGAACATGATACCTTTGCTCGGGTAGACCGGCGACAGGCAGAAATGACAGGAGTAGACTCTCATGGTTTATGCAAATGTGGTAAATTGGCCCGGGGGCTGATGCTATGTAGTGAAGATGGATCCGAGATGAGATGCGAAGAGGTGGAAAAAAATCTACCCTAGTTATCGCGGTGCACGGGTGCGTCCCCACCATCTAACATACCGATGCATCCCAGGGATCCAAGAACTAAGATGAAGGTGAAATCGGCGAAAACCTCGAGGTTTATCTGAATTTTTCATGACTCATTCTTATGGATTGCTTTTTTCACATCCATATCACTGCCCAAGGTGTTGTCGAATATGAACATTGCAGATGCTCCTACGAGAGCTGACCCAGGAACCAGAAAAACAGTGATGGCATCACATTAGCTTAAAAGTATTCAAATTACAGACTTCCCAACGACTAGGCCCCACTGGTCTCCAGATTTGCACGATGTTCTGGAAAATTCAAATCGTGTCACGTGCGCAAAATCAACATTGAGAAGGCGAAGATTTTCACCACTTGTACCCCATAACCATGAACGCCTCCAATCTACAACCGCCACCAGACCAGCAGCAGCAACACCCACAACAGGTCTACCAACAACCTACATTTACTGGTCAGTTGCAGAAAAAGAAAGCCCCCGAGGGATCTGCTGAGTGGTACTTTGACCAAACATGCGACTGGATGGGCAACCACCCATGGCTCACAGGTCTCGGAGCCTTTGGTTTGGCCTACGTTGCCGCCGGCATGTTCAAGTCCAACCAGCCAGGCTTGAACGGTAAGGCTTTCATCAAGGGCTCCTTTGGCCCCAAGATGTCTGCCAAGGAGGCTCTACAGATCTTGAACTTGAAGGAAACTAACTTGTCCAAGGCCAAGTTGAAGGAGCAGCATAGAAAATTGATGATGGCCAACCATCCAGATAAGGGTGGCTCTGCCTTCTTGGCCACCAAGGTGAATGAGGCCAAAGACTTCTTGGAGAAGAGAGGCGGCATGAAGGACAAATAAACTAGCTTGTAAATATGCATGGATAGAGTGTCGGCTTCGGCTGGCCTACTGGAATAAAAGACGAAACGAAATGGACTGTAGGCTGCTCTTGAAGCTAGTAGTAGATGGGTGGTATAACACGAGATGAAGGAAGACTCCATAAGGATCAAAAGTAGAATCTGATTATTTCTTTCGAGCCCTAGATGGGATACGTGTTTCGTAACAGCTTTTCTTGGTGCCAGGCCTCACATTGTAGTATGAAATGCGTGAAATTTAGACAGCTTCTAAATTTGGAACAAGTGTGGGAAGTGGTGGATAATCGATACTTTTAAACATATAGTCTAGATCGGAAAGAAACTCTAGTATTATCTTGGGTCGATTTTGCAATTTCACGAATGTACCGCTTAACGGTGTAATCTGGGCCATCACCGGCTATTTCGGCTATGCGATAAGACATCCGGCTTTCTTTAGCCTATTCAGTAACCTTTGCATTTTATCGCTATCACCACATTTCCGTGCCTGTAAAACCTTCTCCTCATAACTTTAATTTCACTCTCCCACCTTCTGAGACAATTCCAAGTAGCAGCTTCTCAAATAGGCGTAGCGCCAAAACATCCTCCAATGAGGCTCAATATAGGGGTTTGAGCCGCTCGAGCAAAACATGGTGCCATTTAAAGCCAGCAAAGAGCTCAATCTGCTCAATGGCCCAATGGAAGAAATAAGTGAAAAATTCTGATCCGGCCATTCCACAGCTCCATTCCCATACCCCATACATTGAACCGCAATGGTTGCGAAATCAGCAACCGACATCGGCGACCGAAACACGGACGATGTGATTTTTTGAATATTTACAAAATATCGTTTAGATGCGATATGTGAACGTTGAAGCAGTATTTTTCAATTGCCCTGCCTTCCTCAATTGGGTGTTCGGTTGCTCAGCCGAGTGAGACATTTGCACCCAGTAGAAGGCATCCAAAGCACAAAGACATTCATTGAAATCGAATTTTTTTTGGCTAGTTCTCTATAATTTTCTTTCTCTATCAAGTTTCCATCCCACTTTCGTCCCGTTTTCACCGCCTTCCAAATATATGTAAACATGGAAAGGCTGATGCCGACTACAGCCTGCGCGCAAGATAAACAGATCTAACAAAGTGTTCGTACCACCATGACAACTTACGAAAAGATCGTCAAGGGCGCCACCAAAATCAAGGTGGCGGCGCCGAAGCCCAAGTACATCGAGCCCATTCTCATGGCCACCTCCATGAACCACCACGTGCTGCTGGAGAACTTCAACACCATCATGAGAACTCTCCGTCAGAGGCTTCAGGACAGCTCTTGGTCTGTGGTGTACAAGGCGCTAATTGTGATCCACATTATGATCCGGGAGGGCGACGGCGATGTGACATTGGAGTATTTGGCCCATCAGGCCCCGGGCATGCTCAACTTGAGCCATTCCAACATCTCCCGAAACCAAGGTTCCAGCGATGTGCGCTTTATCATGAGATACTCCCGGTACTTGCACACCAGGGTGAAGCTTTTCGGGGAGACCAAGGTGGATTATGTGAGGGACGAAAGAGTCAAGAACCTGACGGACCAGCAGGGCGGCCGTTTGCGCTCGTTGCCTGTGGAGAAGGGCTTGATAAGGGAGCTGGAGGGCTTGCAGAAGCAGATCGATGCGCTTTTGAAGAACAGTTTCATGGAGAACGAGGTCAAGAACGACGTCATTTTGACTGCGTTCCGCTTGTTGGTGAACGACCTCTTGGCCTTGTTCCAGGAGCTCAACGAAGGTGTCATCAACCTCTTGGAGCACTACTTCGAGATGTCCCGCTACGACGCTGAGAGGGCCTTGAAGGTGTACGTGAAGTTTGTGGACCAAACCAAGTATGTGATTGACTACCTCCGTGTGGCCAAGCACCTCGAGTACGCCACCGAATTGCATGTGCCTACCATCAAGCATGCCCCTACCGCTTTGACGTCGTCTTTGGAGGAGTACTTGAACGATCCCAATTTTGAGGAGAACAGACGCCGCTACATGCTCGAAAAGGGCCTGAAGGGCAAGGCCCCAGAGACTAATAGAGATACACCCGCCCAGGCACAGCCTCAAGCACAACCCCAAGCACAACCACAGGCGCAACAAGCTCAAGCGCTTCAGGGTCAGCCCCAGGCACAACAAAACCAGCATATCAACGGCCAAGACGGATTGCAGAGATCAGGCACTCTCTTGGTGCAACAATCGACTTACAACCCATGGGGCGGCAGCGTGGCCAGTCCCCAGCCGTTCCAGTTCGTCCAACAGGCCCAGGCTCAACCTACACAACCAACTCAAATCAATCCTGCTTTCACAGGTGCCGGGTTTGGCGGCTACGGTGCACAGCCTCAGGCCACTGGTACGAATCCGTTCATACAAAACCAAACTGGCTTCAATGGATTCCAGCAGCAGCCTACGCAGCAGTTCCAGCAACAACCAACTCAGCAGTTCCAGCAACAACCAAGTCAACAATTCCAGCAGCAGCCCACTCAGCAATTCCAGCAGCAGCCTACGCAACAATTTCAACAGGCGGGCGCTCAGCAGCCTGGATTCCAGCAACAAGGGTTCCAACAGACTGGTCAGTTTCAGCAACAACCTACGCAGCAGTTCCAGCAGACGGGCCAGTTGTCGGCACAGCACACGAACAACCCCTTCTCGAGCTTACCTACAACCCCTACGGGCCAGCCACAACCTGTTGCTGTCAATTCCACCAACCCATTTGGAAACACCCGATTTGCCAACTCTCGCACAACGCCATACTCGTTCTCTCAGGATAGAGACAAGCGTGTGTCTGTGACGGCGACCGGCAGTAACCCATTCAAGGTGTCGCAGACAACCACCAGCGTCTTTGACAATGCAGAGAAGCAGAAGCCTCAAGCTTTGCAGAGACAGCCGACCGCAGGCGGGTTGGAACATTTGCCCACGATTGCGGCATTCCCAGAGACTCAGCAGGAGCAGGCCAGAAACGCATACATTCTGAATGCTCAGACTAATTTGACGGCACAGGCCACGGGCCAGATGCAGCAGTTCCAGCAGAACCAATTGCAACACCAGCCGCAACATGCCCAGAACCAATTCTTCCAGCAGCAGCTCCAGCAGCAACAATTTCAGCAGCAGCAGCAACAGCCGCAAGCCTTCTACAATGAGCCCAGCTTAATTTAAATTATTCTATATACGGCACTAAAAGTTCAATGCCACCGCAACAAGGACAAGCAAGCTCGAGAGACCCGCAACGGCGCTGCCGTCGTGAGAAGTCACCGTAGGAATACCAGATTCCAGGCTCGAGGCAGACTCAGACAGGGATGTGTTGGAGTTGGAGTCTGAGCCAGAGCCAGAGCCGGAACCGGAACCGGAACCGGATTCGGAAGCGGAGGTGGTGGATGTCGTCAAAGTGGAAGCAGCGGACTCTGAGCCAGCAGAGGTTGTTGGGTTTGAAGAAGTGGTTGGAGAGTTGGATGTCTCAGCCTTGGAGGATGAGGATGTCGAAGAGCTGGAGCTTGTGGAAACGGAAGACAGGCTTGGAGTGGAGCTTGAAGAAGCAGAAGAGCTTGATGAGGCCGATGTCGAGGAGCTCGAGCTTGAGCTAGATGAGGACTTGGAGGAGGAGCTTCCGTCGTCGTCGCCATGAGCACCCTCTCTTCCGTTGATCTCTCCGTTCACCGCCTTGATCGACTGCCACGAGCCAGAGTGGTCGGTGTACTCGTACTTGTCACCGGTGGAGTAATCATCCACAAGCAACTTCTTGATGTGCATGGTGAAAGGAGCCTCCGAGTAGTCGGTCAAACCGCCGGCCCACTCGATGGTACCTTGCTCGTTGGTAGGATCACCACCAGCCCAAATACCGGCCTTGATGTACAGCGGGCTTTGAGGGAAACCCTGGCTGTTGTCGCTAGAAAGCGTTCTGACCGGGGTACCTTCCAAATACCATACAATCTCGTTTTCCGTCCAGACAATGGTGTAGTTGAAGTAGTTCTCGTGAGGCAGGCCTGGAGTGGTGTGGTATTCGCCTCTGTCGTATGTGGTGGTGTCTCCCTTGGAGAAGTAGTTGGACTGGAACTGGGTATCGTCTCCGCCCAACAACTCGATATCGATTTCGTCCAAGTCGTCAGACATCAAAAAGAAAGACAGCACAATGCCCTTGCCTGGAGCAGCCTTCATCAATACCTCCACACGGCCAAACATGATGTAGAAGGTCAGTCTGATGCCTGGATTGTCACCCTTCTTTTTAAGCGTAAGTTCCAAGCCATCGTCAGTGTAAGAGACACCTGAAGGGATGGCAACAACATCAAAACGGTCGGATTCCTCGTGGAACTCCTCCACAAGACTGGTGCCCAAGGCAGTAACTGGCGAACAGGACGAAGAAAGAGGGTTGCAGTTACTGGACCCTGTGGCTGCCAAAACGGCTGCAAAGTGTGCGAGCAATGCTATGACGAAGAGCATTTTCTATGGTGTAGCGAGTGGTGAAAGGGCTGTTTTCCAAAAATACAAAAGAACGAAATCCCTTGGCTTTATACACTTTTGAGGAGTCCATGTCATGTCTTATACCTAAGACACGGTTGGAAGGAGTGACTGTGTGGGCTGTGACGCGGACAAAAATAGATCTGTGCGCAGCTGCCGAGACCGCTGTAACTGGGCTCGCAGGGGTGCTACGAAAAGTCTAATTACATGGATGAAATCGCAAACGCCGCTTTTGGGGCGAGATTTTTTTCCCGGCTCGTTTTGCCGAAGTTTACGTTATTTTTTGTAAAGCCGTCGACCCTGCTTCTCGCTTAAGGCGCGGTGTTCGCGTATTCCCACAATAACCCGGATTTGGACTCGCAGGCAGCCATTGTAGGCTGTAATGGCGGTCGTGAAAAGCTGTGCTGATAATAGATGAAACGAGCCACGGAGGTATTGTTGAAGGTTTGGCGATAAGAAATTGTGTTTTGGTGTTTTCTTCGTGCTGGTGGGTGCTAAACTTTGAGAGCTTGTGGTTACTACGTTGGGTGCAAATGGCGAACGTTAAAGCTAGACGGTGCCCCAAATGGCAATCCCCAAACACCGCCAGCAACGCTTGAATAAGTTTTACTTTTGTTTTTCAGTAAGCATCGCCAGCCCGCCCGATTGGCTTCTTTTCTTGGTGTAATCATATCGTACCACTCTGGCGTGGTTTACGACATTGTATGGTGGGGCTGTACACTGCGGTAAAACGCTGGCTCTGGTGCCCGATTAGCTTTGGCCTCAAGGTGAAATTGGTGATTTTCTAAATTTATTAAAAAATTGGTATTTTTGGATCCTGACGTATCCGTCGGATAATTGCTACCGGAATTACTGTGGAAGGTTCAGGTGGAGGCTCAGTGCAACAAGCCGAACACCGCGTAGCTGAGCCTACCCGAATTTACACTTTTCGGAAGGTCTCGATCAGCCAGAAGGTTCGATAGGCATGTCATATATAACCTTTTGGGAAAAACGATTTTGCAAGGCTGGCTTTTGGTGGTGTTATATTAAAATTGTTGCAAGTACCGTGTTTTGGTGATTTGGCTATGATGGTTGGAACATGGTGATAACCACCAGCTGCAGAGAGGTGCACCCCACCAGAATACCCATAAAACCAGGAAAGACCAATTTTTATCTTACAAGCATTTCTACAACCCAACCATTATCAAATCTTCACCATAGTGTTATTAATCATTACGAGGCCTATTTACAGTGAAGGGTGACGGGGCTGGCGCAAACCAGCAGTCGTTGTCTATGGAAAATCAAACTTTTTCATCTACCGGTGCTCCTGGCAACAGGAGGTTGTGTTCCGGTGCATATTGGCGAACCCAGCGCTCTATTTTCGTTCTCCTTCTCTCGACAAGATTTACCTTGCAAGAATTAAGCTTTGGATGATTTCCAAAGCAGCGACTAGATCCCTAGCAAAATGCGCTGGTGGGAGAGAAACAACCCTGGAATCCTCTCACCACAGCCATCAAGGCTCTCGTCAAGCCATTTGTCTGAGCTCGCCGACGTCTTCATTCGTTCCAGATATCGTCAGCGAAACCCTCCGTTACCGTGGGGTCTTCGCCGTACTTTCTGGCCCAGCGGGTGAATCCGCCCTCCATGACATAGACGTTTGGAACTTTCTCTCCCTCATTGGGGGCTTCTTCAATTGACCTCAAGAACAAAAGCGCCGCCTTGGGGCCTCTGGCCTGGGACAAGGCACAGTGGAAAACAACGTCCTTGACCTGGTTTTCCTCGAGTTTCATGCGGAGATCGGAGAGTCTCGAGCCAAACTCGTTGGCTGGGTAGTGGAGACATCCCTTGATGTGACCTCCGATGAAGTCGTCATCTCTGACATCCACCACAGCGAACTTGGTGCCGTTGGCGAACCATTGGCGCACCTCGCTGGGCTTGATAAACTTTAAGTCGGAAAAGCTGATTTGACTCATGGAATAGAGTCTTCTGAAATGTGGAAGAATTGTGGCAGGACGGGGCAAAGGTGCCAGTTAAATAGTTATTTAGCATTGCTTTCGCGGACGGCTCACAATGGCACGGTGATGCCGATGACCATAGAGATAATGGTCTGGAGTGAGGAAAAAGAAAAGAGGATAATGGCGAGTCAAGCAGACAATGGCGATGATTTTAGAGATTTGGTTTCGGTAGACCCTAGGAATTACCGAGGATCAGCGTATTAGTGTTTGACTACTGTGGACTAGGGTACTGGAGGTCTGTCTACTGTAGCAGCGCTAAAAGGTGGAAAGTGAGATACGAGATATCCAAGTCCGATGTGCATTTTTCAGCGGATACTACACTAAGCCATCGGTGCCACCGGGTTTAGAACATCCGGAGCATCGATTAAGCTTTTCGTAAACATGTGAAATACACCAACTTTATCAAATTCAATGGCAAATTCCGACCAAGCCGTGCTCCACGCAAGGGCTTAAAATCGGACCTTGCTTCTGGTGATGCTCCGCGGTTGCTGCCAGGGAAATGTAGAATCATCTCGGAGTTCAGGTGCGTCTATAGCCGTTCTGATGTGATTTAGCGAGGTGGTTCGAGAAGCGAATCAAAAGAAATGACAAAGATTCCGTTAGATAAACGGCTTTAGGAAGAAAGACTCACAGGATGCTCTACACAGAGGAGGTCATGACTTGGAGACAATGGACTGTTACGCCTGCCTTCCTTGGTGCTACTGTAGAGGTTGCTGAAATCGACGCAGGTGTGAATTCGCTTGCCGACGGGTAGTGGCGAACAATGGGTCGTCACGGTTTTTTTTCTTGAACCTCACTTAGCGACGTTGAGGTGGGAGGGAATCTGGGGTTGCAACTGACTACCCCGGAATGTGCATGAGACAATGTGGCAAAGCGTGACATCTGCGTGTGTTGAATTAGTTTTTTTTTTTTTTTTTGATTTCTTCTTTTGTTTTCTTCTTTTGAAAGTCTATAAGAATTGTGCCAAAACTTTAGGGTGGTGGACATTGCCTGAGCAACCACCTGACCACTATGGCTGCGACGAGATCTTCACCTGACAAAAGTCCAAAACCGAAAAAAGGTCAATTGCAGAAACCGAAGCTGATTTCAGCAAATCAAACAATCTTCTCTCTTTTCTCCGTCGCTAAACCTAAAATCAACACTCAGCCGCAAGGAGACCTCCTCCAGGTATTCACATGAGGCTCGCAACTGGTTTTCGCAATCGCCCGTGCTTAAGCAGCCGTGCCTCAGATGACTCTGGAAAGAAGGCATTGCATTTTCTTGTTTTTCCCGTACTCGAAGAACCACCTTTTCCAATTTTTTAGCCATTTTTTGCCCGGTCAAACCACCTGGCTGTGTCTCTACATACCACACCTTTGCACCACGGGTTCCATTAAATCGCAGTGAAAATCAAAGGCTTTCTTCACAATGTCCATGCTGCCCGAATCTGACGACAAGGCGGACGGCCAGCTCAAGAAGACTCTTCTGGTCGATTCCATTGCACCCACATTGACTCTGTTCTTCCGCAAGCGCAAGAGATCGGAGTCAACCTCGGATCTGGAAAGAGCCAATTCGTCAGACCTGAGCGACGAATCCGATCTGGATGGCCCAGCGGCCCAGAAACGCAGAAAAGTCCAGAAATCGAAGGAGCAGGAGGAATTCGAAAAAAGAGACAAGCAGTACGAGGCAGAGCTCCCGGAAGAGTACCGCAAATTCCGCCCCGTGGGCCACAGATTCAATCTTCCCCCTACAGACAGACCCGTCCGAATCTACGCCGATGGTGTTTTCGACTTGTTCCACTTGGGCCACATGAGGCAGTTGGAGCAGGCTAAGAAAAGTTTCGAAAACGTCGAGTTGGTGTGTGGAATTCCCTCGGATAAGGAGACCCACAAGAGAAAGGGTCTCACGGTGCTTTCCGACCAGCAAAGAATCGATACCCTTAAGCACTGTCGCTGGGTGGATGAGGTCATTCCCAATGCCCCATGGTGCGTTACTGCTGACTTTTTGTTGGAGCACAAGATCGATTACGTTGCTCACGATGACTTGCCATATGCCTCGGCAGACTCTGACGATATCTACAAGCCCATCAAGGAAAGAGGCATGTTTTTGGTGACACAGAGAACCGAGGGCATTTCGACCTCCGACATCATCACCAAGGTGATCAGAGACTACGACAAGTACTTGATGAGAAACTTTGCTCGTGGTGCCACGCGAAAGGAACTCAATGTGTCGTGGTTGAAGAAGAACGAGTTGGACTTCAAGAAGCACGTCAACGACTTCCGCACCTACTGGATGAGAAACAAGACCAGCATCAACAACGTGTCGAAGGATCTCTACTTCGAGGTCAGAGAGTACTTGCGTGGAAAGAAGTCCGACTTGTCTTTTGCCAACTTTGCCAACAACCACCTTCCTCACAGCAACAGCTCCCCTAGTCTCGTCAGCGACCTGGACGACGCCCTGCGTGCCCTGAGTCCTCTCACCGAGTTTGCCTCCAAGTACATTGTGAACAAGAACGAGAAACCCGGCCGTTTTTTCAAGGGCTTCAACCTCAACAACTGGATGCAGAAGGACGACTCTCACGATGAGGAGGAGCGTCCTCGCAGAAAGAGAACCGCCGCCTTGGCTGCCAAAAACGAGTTGACCACTTCGGCGTCGGCCCCAGCGACGACGCTGCCCCGTAAGATCAGGAAGCCCAGATCGAGAAAACAGCATTAGAGAACAACAAGGTACGTGAGCCTCCAGGCGTCGCTATTCCAACTGCATGTGCCGGCCACTATCGGTTGTATATGTGAATAAGGTAATTATATATGTTGCATCACTGGTTGTAGGTGTGGAGATGAGAGTAGCCATTGAAAGCGTATTCAATTAAGAGTGGTAATTACGCCGACGTTAGCAAATATCCAGTGAAATTGATCGAATCTTTCATTTTCGACGAAAACTTATAAGTTTGACGATCAACGGTGCAGACCTGAGATACATAGGCAGAAGCAGATATGTATACAATGAGAGACACAAGTTGCAGCCATTCCGTACCACACATCTATGCTAAATTTACTCAATTTTTTTCCATTTATTACGAAGAAATTTGAAGAAATTTGCTGAAATAGCTATAACATTTCTACCACTACATCCACTAAATCAGACCCCCATCGCCATCAACTACATCTTCTACCAGTGCGAAATCATCTGTTGATCTTCTACACCTACTTGAAACAAACATGGAGGGTCAGGAGCTCCTGCGCACATGGGCAGAAATGGACACGCCTACAGGATTCCAAAATCCCACTGAACGTATAGTGACCGTTCCAGTGCCCGTTTCCAGCAATGCCTGGAGTTTCACACAAGGTCTAATATGTGGACAAGTGAGTGTGGTGCTAGTGATTTTGGTATTCATCAAGTTTTTCGTGTTTGCCGATGGCCTGCCGCAACTGGCGACGCTGAAGTCGACGAAAAGAGACGTGGCTGCTGTGGTTGTGAAGAGAGACAAACAGAAGGACGAAGACGAAGACGACAGTGCCAAGTTGGCTACGATTCTTGAAAAAACATACTACGACGTGGAGACCCACGCGCCCGAGTCACTCGACTGGTTCAATGTGCTTGTGGCGCAGACAATCGCTCAATTGAGAACGGAAGCGTTGCTTTCGGATAACATATACCACCTGCTCAATGCCTTCCTTGAGAAGCTGGATACACCAGACTACTTGGACAGGATCCGCCTACTGGAGATCGACATTGGCGACGATTTTCCTATATTCTCAAACTGCCGAATTAAACACAGCGGGGACGACTTTGGACGCCTTGAGGCCCGTATTGACGTGGATCTCTCAGATACCCTCACCCTAGGTATAGATACTAGGCTCTTGTTGAACCACCCAAGGGCACTCACGGCAGCCTTGCCCGTGCAACTCTCCGTCTCCATTGTTCGTTTCTCCGGCTGTCTCACGGTATCTTTAGTGAACACCAACGAAACAGGCTTTGTCGGTGGTTCCAAGGACAAAGAGTCTGGCGGCACGGCGCTCATGTTCTCGTTTTCGCCAGACTACAGACTCGAATTTTCCGTCAAGTCTCTTATAGGCTCCAGAGCCAAACTACAAGATGTGCCCAAGATCTCCGACCTCATAGAAAGCAAGTTGCGGTCGTGGTTTAAAGACCGGTGCGTGGAGCCCCGGTTCCAGGTGATCAAGTTGCCCTCTATGTGGCCCCGGAGCAAAAATACCCGTGAACCTGCCCAGGCCCGGGAGGAATGATGCGTATGCTGTATTTAGTATTTATCCCAACATGGATCTCTTGCGTCCACGCAAACGGACGTCTTCTAGCTTTTTGATGGTTTCCTGGAGCTTCTTGCGGCCGCCCTTGCTGGCATAGCTCTGATGAAGCTCCTCGTAACCCTGGAGAAGCCACAGGTTGTATTGGTCTGCGTAGTCTGAATGTGTGCTCAACACCGCTCTTTCCATGACATACAAATCGACTGCCTTGTCCTCTGGAAGATTCGAGTACGTGCTCAATCCAAAGTCAATGAGGTAAACGTCGTTCTCCTGTAATATCAAATTCAGTGTGGTCAAGTCTCCGTGGATCATATCGTTCAAGTGCAACTTAGCTATAGCCGAGCCTGTTGCTTTCAATACCTGCTCCACCTCGGAGCTGAGACAGCTCTCCTTATCTTCCTTCTCCAAATGCCAAAGGTAGTTTTTGATCAGCGAAACCTGCCCGTTCGGAAGATCTATCCCGACATGGTCCATCCAAATGACTCCGTTTGGTGCATCTAGCAGAATCAAAGCTGGAGCCGCCACACCGATTTTCGCCAACTTTGCCATAAACTTGGCCTCGCCCACCGTACGCAGCTTGGTGATAAGCGCATCGATCTTTGGATGTCTATATGGTTTTGGTGGTCTGTACTTGATGATGAACCGAGACGCTTTTGGATGTGGAGAGTATGGATGCACTTCTGTGGAAAACACCAAGGCTTCGGCGCCCTGGGATACTAGAGAAAGGGGCACGTGGGGCACCACCTTCTGAACGTCTTTTAGTATGGCATCCGTCATGGAGTTGTAGGTGGATGAGTGTTGATGCTCTTCGCGAAGTTGATATAGAGGAGGCAGGTAGGACAGTGGAGTGGAGGTTCAGGTGATGGAATTTAGTGTCTTTTTGGGGATGTTGAGGTTGCTTGAAGTTTATGGTGTTTTTGGGTTTGGTTCATGATTTGGGTTTTGTAAGCTTGGACTTTTGGGTATAACTGTTGCAGCTGAGTGGGATAGAGGGCCACAGTACAGAGGTATCTAGTCAGGTAAGCCAAAGACATGAGGTTTAAAGTGATCTGTATAAAATATTGTAAAACATTTCAGATATAGTATTATTCATTTGTCACTTCCCCTTGTAGTGTATTCAATTCATGAAACTTGATGCATGCTGGAAGGCAACTGGCCATAATTTCGCAGCCATTACCCACCACATTATTATTCAGTGGCAATTACATGACTAATATTCCGAAGATGAGTCACCTCTTGTAAGCACCGAAACACCTATAAACGACTAATTGGCCAAATCACCAGCCTTCCAAATTCACTTCTCGCTTGTCTCTTCTGACTCCTACCAGCACGCCACTCACACAGAACCCATCCAAGAACCCATCCAAATCACCACCATCAAGATCCACAAAATCCCACAAATCCAACAAATCACCTCCTACACCAATTGACATTTTAAACCCCCAAAAAGAGTAAAGTTCATCTCCCCCTCCAAAATAATCCCTGGTGGTCCTACTTCTTGCTACCCCAGACTGCGCGAACTGAAACCAACTACTACATCATGGCTGAACTAGTGTACGTGGTTCCACCATACCTCCTCAACACGTGCGTGGGGCTTGATCTCCAAAGAGAGGTGGCTGCCCTTGATGCTCAGCTAGCAGCCAAAAATGTGTTTTCGCCGCTGAAGCAAATCCGCTTTCGGCAACCCAAGGACATTGAGACCACCGAGGACGTATTCCTGAACGACCCTGCGGTCAACGACATGATCAAGGAGAAACTCCGGGACAAGTTTGCTGTTTTGGGAATGTTGGGCTCGTCTCCGGCCGAGCACGTCCTGGACGAGTTGTTGTATGGCCTTTACGAGATCTTCAAGGAACGACTCAGTTTGGCTCAGGAACCCGCTTCCATGGAGACATCCAGAGCACTGCAAACGTCCAATGGCTCCGAGAAACTGAAGAAACTGGCCTTTGGATACCCCAGATTGGGTGAAGTCACATTTGGCCCGCTGTTTCTCAAGAACGTGGAGTCATGCTTGTCCAACTACTCCTTGGAGGCCTTGCTCAATTGGGCCAAGGAGAGCTCCGAGCACAAGTACTCCTTTTTTCCATCCTTAGTCGTGGGAAGTCAAGCGTTTCTTTCGCCATTGCCAATGTACTGGACTCCGCTCTCTGTGGATAAGCACCTAGAACACTTGGACAAGAACTTGGGCATGGAGATCGATACACTGAGTGGGTACTCCTTGTTGAAGTTCAAACTACAAGGGAACAACCTACCATTTGATGACTTGTTCCGTAAGAAGCGCTACTTCAACTTCATTGCCAATAACGACGTGCAAGAGAAGTGTGTTATCTTCTACTACGAGGTGCTGGTGGACCAGCTCGCCACAGCCGCCTCGGACTACAAACCATTGATCAGTCTAAACGACTCCCTGTTAGCAGCAGGAAGCTCCTTGTTCTTCACCTTGGGCTACACCAAGCGGAAAGTGCGTTTTGACAAGATGCCCACTAATACTACCACAGGTATCAACACACAGAGTTTGGACTTAAAAGCCATCCAGAGCAACATCTCATTCTACAATCAAAACGTATACAACAAGAAGATCGACGACGACACACTCACATTCCTCGGTGCCGAGCCGGGTGTCTCGTTTGAAGGAAGTTTTGCGGTAAACTTCAACAACTCATGCTCCTACGCATCTATCAAAAGCGGTGACAGCTCATACAGAACATCGTCACTCAACACGAACAGACGTTTCTCACAATTCAACAGACAAACTGCTGTTGACCAGGATACTAGTAAGATTGACGTTGAGGTCCCTTTCAACATCCATGCCAATAATCACGAGAGGATCAAAAAGCGTTACAGAACCGACACGGTGGGCTGTGGTGTCAATTTCATAGACAAGACTCTTTTCATTACGCTCAACGGAATCCTCGTCAAGGAGATCACCGAGAAGGAAATGGTGGACTCCAACAGACACAAGGACAGTATCTTTGAGCACGATCAAAAGATGGGATCTTTATTCCCAATGATTGGCTTCCAGCTCTCTGAACTTCTGCGAGACTTGCCTGCGGGCGAACTTCCAGAGACGGTGATCAAGACGAACTTTGGACTCAAGGAGTTCGAGTTCAACATCAATCGCTACGTTGACAATTTCAAGAAGAAACAAGCTGATGAGCTCACAAAGATGATTGCGGATGAGTCTCAGACCCAGCCTCAAAACACAGTTCCTGACGATAGCTCGTTTGAGAAGGCTGTAGCCGACATACGCAGTGATTCAGAGGTCTTGAATAAGTTCATTAAGGGCTACTTGATACAACATGGTTACCTTGAGACATTGAAGTCTTTCAACGGTGACGTGGAGGACCTTTCGTCTCACATACATGGTGATGTTGACATGGAGGGAGAAGCTTCGAAGCAACAGGAAGCTTTAGTGGAAGAATCCCATGCCACACAGAGACACCAAGTGAGACTGTTGATCTATGAGAAGAAGTTCCTAGAAGCGGCTTCGTTCCTCGAGACAAACTACTCACTCCTCGACAAACTAGACTCATACATCTTCGAACTTCGCTACCAGCATTACGTTTCTCTCGTGAAACGCTACCTCAATATCAAGTTTGGCAATGACTTTGACTTCGACTACAAGGAGGAGTCAAAGGAAGAGTACTTCAAGTCAGTGATTCAGTTCAACGAGGAGTTGGCCAAGCTGGTCTCGGCTAACACTGCAGCTCACGCAAAAGTCTCCAATTTCTCCGGTGTCATTTTGGCCAACAGCAAAGAGGAATTGAACGACATGCCAAGCGCCCAAAAAGAACTTGACAACCAACATATTGAGATCGAAAGACTAGCAAGCCGTGTCAATGCTGCCATCTTAGAACTGCTCAACTTCGAGAAGATTTCAAAGCTAGAGCATCTTATACAAAGCGCAGGCAATAACATCAACAGCCTCTGCATGGAGAACGACAACACGTATAAGCTTGTGAACTATGAACAGGATTACATTGACATCTAATTGGCCTCGGCTTTCAATTCGGTCTCTTTTTTGGTGCCAACCGCGGTGGCTGATTTTGCCCTTTTGGCGGACTTGCTCGAGACCGGAGCCGCACGCTTCTTCGACTCGACTTCCACGATAAAGTCCGGTGCAACATCAAATTGATCGAGAGACTTTTCATCAATCTCGGTTGGAAATTCGACATCAGTGAGCCTGTCTGAGCGGTGGCTGTGGTACATCTTCAATGCCCACGCGCCTCTTTCTAACTCATCAAGTGAGTCAATTTGGTACTTTCTGGCGACATTGATCATCACCAGCAAGAAATCGTCGGCGTATTCCTTGAGATTGTATTTGATGGGTTGGCCCGGGCGTAGAGGCTGTTGGACAAAGTAAAGAAAAGCCTCGTCACTGAAGAATGGGGGCGCCAATGGAGTAACATCTTTAAGGACGGCCAAGAGCAAACTGGCCGTAGCAGGGCCTACGCCTCTCAATTCGGTCAATCTTTTCAAGCTCAGGCGTAGCACGTTCTGATACTCCACCAAATCCACGTCCAGCCAATTGGCGTTTTTCTTCGCGTACTCTGTGAAGATCAGGAATCCGCTTTTCGTGGCCTTCTCGACAGATTCCTCTGAATTTGCCTGGATGAGCTTTGGAAGCGAAGGCCTGAACTTACCCTTGGCGAGTTTCCAGTCCATGAGTAAAGCCAATTCGGCCTTGGTGATGTACAAACGACCTTGGGAGTACCGTTTGCTGAGTTCTTTAGGGAAGTCCTGGCTTCTCCATTTGTCCAATTTGTTCAAGTTCCACCCCTCCTTGCCGTATAGCTTCGACAGTTGGCGCAGGAGCTCGTCTGTGATCCGGGGGTATAGCAACTTTGTGCCATTGACCAAAGAAGCTTTGTAGTCCATGTTGATTAAAAGCCCGGGCTCATGCGCGCAACGGCTGCGAAAGTGAGACAATGCCTGCAAGATTTCGAAGCCTCATGGAATGCAGAAAAGCTCGCTCAAGGATGGATTTGGAGTTTTCATTTAGTGAAAATATTGATATGGTGGATTTATGGACTACTTCTGGGTGTTGCTGTGAGACTTAAAAGGTGTGTACATTTGTTGCACAAAATGGGGATACCCATGCTTTGTCAGCTGTGGATACACGCATCCACCTCTACGAGTTATGAGGTGAAAAATCTATGGAGATCGGGCTCCGGCCGCCTGGATATATACAGATTGAAATAGCAGCCGTGATACACCTACTCCCGAATGACAGGCTGCGCAGAAGGCAGTTTCAGCTTCTTGTAGTCCATACGTCTGTGAGGGGTGTAGTTCAATGGGAACACGAGGTCCAACACCACATTTTGCACCAACGAAAAGACCTGGGAACTGAGCCAATAAAGCGTCAATGCTGTGGGTGCATGCAAAGAAATGGCCATCAAAAAGACCACACCCATCCGAGACAAGTTACCCAAGGAGTCGAATATCGTAGGACGGAATGCTCTCTTTCTGCCTGGCGCCTTCATCAACAGAAACGTCTTCAAAGTCCATTCGACGTTCAGAATCGCCACAATTCCAATGGCGATCGGGAAAATATGCAAAGGATCAAGCGAAGTGAGGTCTGTGAACCACAATGCTCCTTCTTCGTAGAGAAGAGGATCTAGAGGTTTGTTGGCCAACGAGTCCCAAGTAGACCAGCCGCTTAGATTTCGAAACGTCATCGACATACAAACCCACAAGGGGATCTGGGCCGCAGGCAAGAAGAAGTTCTTATACAACTGCACGCCATGGTCCTTGAAGAGCTTCTTCTGTCTCTTTCTGGTTTCTTTCGCCAGGAGCACCATGATCTCGTCATATTTCATTTGTTTAGCCGGGTTAGTCATGATGGGAGATTTGTCGACGGCTTTGGCGGCCTTTTGGGCTTTTCTGGCTAGCTTCATACGCAAGATGGGTCCTGTTGCAGCCACTATAGGTCTCAAGGCGTTCTGTTTCTGGACCCTGAGTCGCTGCATCACCGCCAAGGGAAGCGTCCAGAGCCCTCGAAGGGTGAACGTTGTCAATGGAATCACCGCCCACCATGGAAGTCCAGATATGGTGTGGATGTGCTCGACGGACTGGGTGAGGATGTTGATGATAGCCGTCGGTTCAACGGAAAAGTGGCGATGCTGTGAGCGGGGGTATTGAGATATTGAAGGAAATGCTGAATTTCTAGGGAAACTCCTTAGACTTCTAGCAGGAGCTAGGGTTCCGATTCGTAGCATGGAGTAGTAGTGATGAAAAGTAGCGATGTACTGCACAGCTATCCAGATGGACCCCAGAAGTCACCATTAATGGACGGCAAAAACAGCTTTCTTGGGCTGTAAATCGACCAAAACAGACAAATATTGCTTTTATGTTTGTCCCTTGAAAGCCAGGTATCGTGGATCCCCCCTGGAGGGCCATCTTCCAAAACGCCTCACGTGACCAACACCTCTTTTCAGCGTTCTCCAGAATCTACCAACCAGCCATGTCCTCCAAAACAGAAAGAGCTTGCATGCTCTGCGGCATCATCCAGCCGTACAGACGTTTTCTAGAGACCGGCTGTCCCAACTGCGAGTCTGTTTTGCACTACGCCGATAACGAGGACGGCCAGATCCAGGACTGTACTTCTCCAGCTTTTGAAGGTCTAGTGGCTCTTGGAGACGACAACAAGGCATCGTGGGTGGCCCGCTGGCTCCGTATAGACTCCTTTGTGGCCGGATTGTATGCGGTCAAGGTGAACGGAAAGTTGCCTCCACACATCATCAGTGACTTGGAGGACCAGAACATCAGCTATAGACCTAGAGACGGCAGTGCCGAGGATTAGCTGCACAGAAAAAGAGTGTATTATATTTACATAGTAAGGAAAGGAATGATAGTTGTGCTGTAGGCCCCTCTGTTGGAGTTGGCCAAGACTGGTTGTGAGTTTGTGTAAATTAATTTTCACTCTAGAGACTGCCTCCATCTACAATAGACCATTTTCACTTTTATAATACAAATACAAAGGCTCTACATGTAGTGCCCTAGGGTCGTGGCAGTCTGCTGGAGCTTCTCCACGGTGGCTGTCTTGTCCCACTGGGAGCGGTCTGCCCAGATGATATCCATGAGCTTGGCCATGGCAAATTCGAGCTTTTCGACCGTGAAGCCCTCGGTGAGTTCCACCATGCGCTGTTCAAAGAAGGCTTCGGCCTCTGGAGGAATAGTCAATTGGCGGCTGGCATCAACGGCAAATTCACCTTCTGCCTCAGACTCGCTTTCTGGTTCTTCAGGTGCTGCAGCAAGCACAACCTTCTTTTCCTCGGAGACGGGATCCACGTCCATGGCGTCTGATGAGGCAGGAGGTTGCTGTGATTCAGTGGTCTGCTCGGCTTCTTCAACAGGCTGTGGCTTCTCTTCAACTTCGCCGTTTTCCTTTGGCTCTTCAGCAACAGTCTTCTCTGGCTCTTCTGTCACAGTCTCCTTTGGCTCTTCTGTCACAGGCTCCTTTGGTTCATCTGCGCCATCTTCCTTTGGTTCCTCTGCCGTTTCCTTAGGTTCCTCGTTTTCCACCTCATTCTCTTCCCTAGGCTCCTCGTTATTCTCGGCGTGACCATTGGAGTCGAGGTCCCTAGGAGGTGCTCCATCTTCAAGAAGACGAACAGGCTCAGGACCATTGAGCTCAGTCTCGGCTACAGCATTAGCAGCTTGCGTCTTCTCGAACTCCTCCTTGAGTTTCTTGTACTCCTCCACGAGTTTGGCCTGCTTCTCGATCTCCCTTACCCTAAGATCCTTACAGGCCTTGGCGAATTCGGGATTGTTGAAGTCGTCAATTCCAAACTGGGCATTGGTCATCATTTCGTTAGCCTTGAGAATTCTCTCCCTGTCACCAGAGTTGAAAGCGTCCTTCACGATCATTCTAACGTCTTTGAGGAACTGTTTCGCTTCTGAGTAGAAACCATTCCAGATTCTCTCTTCTATTGTATCCAAATCCATGTTGTAGAAGAATTTGCCGGTGTTCAACTCCTTAATCATGTTGGGGTGTTCTGGGTCTTCCGAGATGATGTATGCCACCTCGTATGTGATCATGGGGTTCTCCAAAATAGAAGGCTCGTACAAGTGGTGCAAGTAGCTTTCGTCAATGATTGGCTTTCTGAAACGCTTGTAACGGTTCTTGAAGAGATCCATCAATCCAGCGAGCTTGATCTTCAACAAGTTTTTCAACCTCTTGTCCTCGTACTCCTGCTGCTTGTCACGCTTTTTACCTAGCAGAGCCACGCTCACGGTCTCTGATGGTACAACCGGAAGCTCTTTCAACTTTCTCTTTGGCCTATTCGCCAAGTCATTGAGGAACTCAAATGGCTTCATCTTCAACGCGTTTTCTGCGGTTTGGAAAAACCTCCGTCTCGACTCAGCATTAGGGTTCTCCAAGAACACATTGTTGCTGTCACTCAGGATTCCGAGGGTGATTTTGATGTCAGATTCCAATTCGTGGAACTGTCTCTCAGCCATTCCTAGCAAAAGAATCTTCTCATTGCTCTTCAAGTTTCGAAGTAAGCCGGCGAGAGTTGCTTTTGCTGAGTGTGTCATGACATCGAACCATGTATCGATGTTTGGAATGAAGATGATGGAAGGCTGGTGTCTCCTGGCCTCGATGAAAGTTTGAACAATGCACAGTTCTGGGGTTCTTGTGACATCACCGAAAACGGTAGCAAGATCTAGGTTTTGCACTTGGAAACCTTCAAGTATGTTAAGAATGGCAGCACCAAGGTACTGTTGACCGGCACCTGGCTCACCGCATATAAGTAGATGGGGCTTGCAAATACGAGAGCTTTCCAAACTCTTGAGAAGCTCCTGTTTTCCGAAACCACCATCAGCATCATGAATTGTTGGGTCCAAGTACATGGCGTCCTCGAGATTGGTGAGTTTCTTCTTGCCGCCAATGCTCACCGAATCTGGAAGCAAAGCACTCAATTTGGAAACAATTTGATCAAGAGAGCCTTGAAGAATAGGTTGCAAACGTTCAGGGAGTGGAGCTGAACCTGTTGAAGTCGATCTAGCACTGGATGGCACAATCTTCTCGATTGCTCTCATGAAATCCTTAGCAATAACCTTGACCTTGGTAGGGTCCACCTTGAGCTTGTCGGTGGAGCGATAAATCTGAGGGTACTTTCTTTGAATCGAATTCAAGGCTGCCTCCGTGCAAAGAGCACGCAAATCGGCACCACCGTATCCCTTGGTGAGACCTGCAATCTTTTCAACAAAGACTGGAGATAAAGGAGGCTCCCACTTGCGTGTGTGGATCTTCAAAATCTGCTCTCTTGCACTCAAGTCAGGAAGTGGGAAGTAGAACTCTCTATCGAAACGACCTGGTCTTCTCAATGCTGGGTCTACAGAGTCGGGTCTGTTGGTAGCACCAATAACAATAACCTGACCTCTGTTGTCCATACCGTCCATGAGTGCAAGCAAAGTAGAGACGATACTGGCATGGATCTGTTCTTGCTTCGAGGAACGAACGGGCGCCAAACCATCGATTTCATCGAAGAAGATGATCGAGGGCTGTTGGTTCTTAGCTTCTTCGAAAAGCAACCTCAATTGACGCTCGGCTTCACCAACCCACTTACTCAAACAGTCTGCACCCTTACGCATGAAGAAAGTGATCTTTCTAGAAGGAGTGGAGCAACTTGCAGCAAGAGCTCTCGCCATCAACGTCTTACCTGTACCTGGAGGACCGTGGAAAAGAACTCCTCGAGGCGGTGTGATTGAGAAGTTTTGGTACAACTCGGGGTATAGAAGAGGCAAGGCCACCATTTCTTTGAGCTGGTCAATGTAGCCATCGAGACCGCCAACGGCAGAAAAGTCGATGTTCATATCGACGCCAAGAGGATCGGTGTCACTGAGACTATTCTTCTTCTTTCCCTTATCTCCCAATGCCTCTGCACCGACAACCTTTGTATTGTTGAGCATTCCAGAAGGAGCTGGAGCAGCGCTGTTGGCTGTCAAAGGCGTCTTACCCATTGAGCCACTCACAGAGGGTCTGGGCTGGGCACCTGCGCCAGACGAAGGTACGAATTCGTCATCAGAGGAGTCGGACTCGTTTCCACCGATCATGCTATTGCGGGCATCCGCTGGCATACCTGGGATGGGGATACCGCCAGGAGGGATATTCTGACCCAAGAGAGAGATGACATCGCTTCCACCGAAAGGACCTGCGGTGGGGAAAAGCAACTTTCTGAAATCGCTCTTATTGCCCACGTTCTTTCTGTTTCTCTTTGGAGGTGGAACGAACCTGGCCGCACTCAAGGCGTCCAAATCGTGGTCGTTTTGAATAGCTGGTGGGATTGTGTAGTCGACCTTCTCTCCACGCTCTCTGAGCTTATGCTTGACTGGACTTTCTTCCTCTGGTGACAGATCGTACAAGTCCTTGATTTCCTGGTTGATATCTTCCTCCTGCTCCTCTTCGTCGTCTTCAAGGTCGTCCGCACGCGTAAGGCGTTTTCTGGATCTCCGTGGCTCAGCCAGCCGCGATCTGGACTTGGGCTTTCGCCTCAGTCTGTTTTTGCTTGTGGAGCTGTAACCATAGTAGTCGTCCTCCTCGCCATCCTCCTCAGGTGCGATAAACTGCTTCTCTCGTAGCCTTTCAAGAAAAGCGTCATCTTCTTCAAAAGCATCGCTTTCGTTTTCCGACTCGTTACTGAGCTCGTCTTCCTTGAAGTCTGAGTCCTCTCCATCTGCATTCAGCCTGAGGCGTTTCGACAGTCTTCGACTCTGAGCCCGCAGTCTTTTCGTAGGGATTACCTCGTCTTCATCATCGAAGTCCTCGTCTTTGGCGTCATCTTCTTCTGGTGCTGATTCTGGTTCTTCGGGCTCTTCAGGTTCCAATTCGTCCTTCACCTCGGGCTCCTCCTTGGGTTGTGCTGGAGCGTCAAAATTCTCATCTTCTGAGTCTTCAAGGTACGAGACCTGTCTTCTGGAACGACGGCCCGAGGTCTCGTTTTCGTCGTCACTACTAGCCAAATGCCTAGAGCTCCGTGTTGGTCTGACCATTTCTTTGGCTCTGGCTGGGTTGTAGGATAAAGTTACTGGGACGATGATTGTGGAAAGATTTGTAAAGTGCCAATGCTTTCAGCCAGCTCTCTGCACTTTTGGAGTGTGTTTTTTGTACTGTTTGGAACACCAGGGAGCTTGGTATTTTCACAGCCAGTGTCGGTTTTTGAGATACCGCAACGCTGTGGTCACGTGACGCGGGCCTTTCTGGAAAGGCTATTAAAGGTGCCGTTATTTCACGCCACAGACCGAATTTGCCAAAATATATTAGATATTCGTGTTCCTGGGCTCTTCAGCTGTCTAGCCGTGCCCCTTTTGGCCCACTTTCCTGCACCCAATGTGGTTTCAGCAGACCCCCCAGAAACGCTCGTTCAACTAAGCGTGTTTGCAGCCACGTCAAAACGGCCCGTATTATTATGTACGCCGAAAATCTGACAGCCTGGTGGACGCCGGTCCTGCAGAATGGACGTGTTCGAAGCGTCCTCGTCTTTCTTTTTTCATCCAGCCGTTCGCTTATCACTAAATACGACCTTTGACGTGCCCCACGTTACACCAAAGAGGAAATCGATGAGGATCTTGATGAGATGGTTTTGCTGCTTGTGCACCGTTGTCGTGAAGATGGGAAAAAGTCGGTTTTTGGAGATTTACGGGTTTTTCTACATGTAGGTTATTTGCGTTCATTAAGAATAACGATGTCAGTCAAATTTGGTCAGTCCATATTCTTGAAGTGGGGTGGAAGGTGACGGTGTTCTTGTCGAGATGGTGGTTTCATGGGTCGTGCGCGCACCGCCACATCCAGAGTCCCATTGGCTGCGAATTGTGGTTCTAGCGTGATAGAAAATACACGGTCACCAATTTACAGTGGATTTGTGGAATTTTATCTTTTCCTGATTACGATAAGGAAGTCCCTTCTCTATTATCTATGTACATGGCACAATTGCGCCTCTAGTCTTTGGCACCCTCCCGTGGCTTCACCTTGTGCATCAACTTCTCTTCATACTTGCGATTGGAACCGTCTCCATACGTCAAATCGGCGCCTATCTTAGCATGTTCTAGTGTTCTCTTGCTCTTATCGATTCCTAGCCGGCCAAGAATCTTTTCGGTCAAGTCAGGCATGTATGGCTGAGCACAGAGCGTTGTTACCCTGATACCCTCCGTCGCTAAGTACAACAAATAATTCCGGATGGTTCGCTCAGGCGAGGGACCGTCTCCAACATGCTTGTTGTACAGCCATGGCTCTGTTGCTTGGAAAAACTCATTTGTCGAGTCGACAACTCTCCACCACTCCTTCAAGGCCTTCATATGGTCAAACAGCGCCAACGAACTGTCCATAGTTTGTTGAAGGCTGTCAATGCTTCTCACGAGTTCGTCTCGTAACAAAAGAACCTTTTCCTTGTCCAGATCGGTCACATGGTCCTTCCTCAACAACTCGTCAATATTGTCAAACTCGCCCGTCGCTGCCTGTTGCAAGCCACGAGAAATCTCAAAGTTTGGAGCACAAACTCGAGAGGTCAAATTGGCGAATTTGTTCAAAAGCATTGCTCTGTGATGAAAGAACCCACTCTCGCTGAAGTTGCTGTCTGTATTTATGTTGGACTGCTCCATCAAGAAGAAACGCAATGGATCAACGCCATAGTGGTCAGCCATGGCATAGGGATCAACCACATTTCCAATGCTCTTACTCATCTTTTTGCCGTCGCAAAGCCAGTGGGAATGCACAAAGATCGTCTTTGGAAGTTTGATTCCAGCAGCCAAAAGAAAGATCGGCCAATATATACAATGGAATCTCATGATATCCTTGCCAATGACGTGATGAGCGGGCCAAATGTTTTCCAACGCTTTTGTGTCTGCTTTCGGGTATCCTGCTGCGGTCAAGTAGTTCAAGAGGGCGTCAAACCACACATAGACCCTTTGATTTGAGTCGTTTGGAACTTCAATACCCCATTGGAGTCTGGAAGTGTGACGAGAAACAGAGAGATCTTGTAATTGGCCCTCTCGTAACTCCTCTAAAATCTGCTTCCTTCTAGGCTCTGGTTGAATGAAATCAGGCGTCTCTTCAATGTACCGTATAAGCTCTTCCTGGTATGCTGATAAACGAAAGAAGTAGTTCTCTTCCTCCTGGTAAAATACCTCGTTTCCGGTTTCTTTGGAGATTCTGATGGTTTTTCCATCCTTGGTGATCTCTTCCGTCTGAGATTCAGGGTAGAAAGCCTCATCACTGACACAGTACCAACCGCTGTGTTTTCCCTTGTATATGAGCCCCTTATCCATCATTATGTTCCAAAAGTGCCCCACTGCTTCCACGTGGTCAGCATCTGTAGTTCTGATGAACCTCAGGTACTCGATCTTCATTGTCTGGGCGAGATGCTTGAAATTCTGTGAAACCTTGTCCACCAATTCTTTGGGAGGAATGTTTTGCTTCTCAGCAACTCCCTGAATCTTCAATCCGTGCTCATCTGTGCCGGTGAGAAAGTAAGTTTGACGTCCTTCTTTGAGTTGTTCCCATCTTACCCTTGTATCAGCTAGAAGCATGGAATAGAGATGTCCGAGATGGGGACTGGCATTGACATAGAATATGGGTGTTGTGACATAGAACGGTTTGGAAGTCTGTCGTATGGACCGGCTAAACTGCCGAAATATGACGGATTTCATGAATATCACTGGAGGTTGTCTGGTATGATATTGTGAGCATGCAGGCCAACCAGAGGAAAGATACCGAGTTCCACTATCAACACAGCTAGTATGTTGTATTACTCTATATATGGTTAAGATGAATAGCTTTTGGTTTCAGCGTGCTTAGAATCGACGAAGATTGCCATCAATGCAAACACTGAGTAGAAGAGACCGAGGGGGTATGCAATCAAGGACCGCATATTGTGCAACTTCAAAGCCGTGATGAAAAGGCCGGAAGCGCTGAAAGTACACCAGAACACAGCAAATGCACTCAATAGATAGCCAATAGTGGAGTCTAACGATACCACAAGCCCTAACGCACATATGAACACCAAAGGCAACAAGCAATAGCCGACTATAGATGCTGAACGAGTCAAGTCAATTTGGACCTCGTTGCTCATGAGTTTGAAAAGGTAATGCAAGCTTACAATGCCAAACACACCCACACCGTAGACGTAGCCAAACTGGACTTTACCGGATAATAGTAGCAAAGTGCCGAACAACAACACAAACAAGATAGGGCCCGCCAAATCAGAATCGCTCATAATCTCTGGGTTCACATCTCTTTGGATAGGGTTCAACACGGCTAGCGTCTTGCCCTTGATATGCAGAAAGTTGATACCCAATTCCTCCAACAATGGAGGTTCGCCCGGGTATCCCGAGGTACCGAATGCTGCAATAATTCCAGGTGTAAGTTCACCACCCATGTCGCCGGAAACGTCGAAATGTGATCCGAACATCGTGTCCATTGAACCCATATTTGGACTGGATACAGAAGGTTGCTGATACGCCTGGTTGGCGTAATTGGACTGATAAAATTGCATATTGTCCGAAGGATTCTGCTGGTAGTATGCCATTGTGTCCCGGTTGTCGATTAGTGGTATTTCAGGGAATAAAGTAGTGGAAGTTGATGTTGTTGTAAGTGAATCCGAGGTGAAGTTTGACGTGTGAGCTCACGTGATTGATCTGCAAATGTTGCCAATAAATGGATGAATTCGATCGGAAATAGCCAATCTTGAAGCTTTCTGGTTTTAATTTTGTATTCAAAGTTCTATTATAGGTCAATTGGGCTTTTTTCCACTTCTTGTTCACGTTTGCATTATTTTGTTACTTAGTGCGAGACACATAGCAAAACCAAGAATCCTTTCGCATTCAACAGTTGTAAAGCCCCAGTCAAATATAAAGTATGGATTTTTATTTTTTTAACAAAGATGAAAATTTTCTTCCTCGAGTACAATCTAAATAACATTGAAATAGCTTGAAACGAAAAAAATAGTAGAGAAGAGAAGAGAAGTCTTCACAATGGCTCAGACCCTGGGAAGTGAGGCTAAAAGTGGACCTTTCTGGCACATCTTCGGCCTAGTAACGTAAAATCATCATCCTTCCAACTGTTGCTTTTAAATACTCTCGATAAAAAGGACATTCACTGAATCGGGAAAGCTCAGGCTTATGAATCAAACGAGTAAAGCACTAAGGTATCGGAGTCCGCTCTTCCAGGAAAGTTCGTAAGGAGATCTCTAAAAGATCATACTAGTCCACCTCTCCACCTCCAATCCTTAGTAGAAGTGGAGGATAGAGTCCGCTTTAGTTACTGCACATGCCTTGCTAAGTCCCTGAATATTTAATGCCTTGCTTGAATATGACTATTAGGATGCCAGTCCTGCTGTTAAAAATGGCTGCAAAAAATGGTTCTCAAAAGTATAAATGCGCCGCTTCCCCAGTCCCACGCACACATCCAAAAAAATGGCAAAGAAGAGAAGTGGAAACCCAAGAAAAAGAAAACCAAAGCAGAAATCAGCGAAATCCTCTAAGCGTGATCTAGAGAAACTGGCGCAGCCGCCACTGGAGGAGATTTTTGAACGGAAGGTCACGTTGGAGAGGATCTCGAAGTCGTTGTCAAAGCACGATAAAACGCTGTTTGATTGCTTCCTATTTCCATTGTCCGCCATGAGAGCATTTTCGGAAGCAGACGACGACAGTTTTTCTCACTTTGAAGAAAGGCCGGACTGTATCATGGAGATGATGTTTGGGGCTGAATCCCGAATTGCAAAGATCATGCTTGAGCAGAGAAGGCAAATAGAGGCCTGGAAGACAAGTGGAGCGCTCGTGGATGCTCCGTTTAAGGAAGTAGCATGCACTTTCTTAGAAGATGCCGCCACCAAATTGCTGGAGTTAAATATCCAGGATCATGAGATATTGCCTTCCGAGCTTGACTGAACCGATTCAAAGGTGTGAACTAGCCAGGGAGATGCCGCTATTCCCATTTTGAAAGCTGGAGGTTCTTGTCTACTTTCATAGAAAACCGGTTCCGTATTGCACTTCTTTGCTGTAGCCGTAGAATATAGCCAAACAAAGTGTTTGACCCTTGGGTGGAGTCCAATTTACAAATTGTGGGTAGAATACACCCTGACTATGGCTTGTTGTGGTTCAATTGACACCGACGTGGGGATCTATACCTATTATGAGCCATAAGTAGCTCAATTTTGGCGCTAGAAAGCTCAAAATTTGTCAGAGAATTACTGAGACAGGCTAAAGAAGATCTATGATTAGAAAGATTGCCAATTCCCTAAAGTCCTGATTTTACCTGATATATTAAACATTTTGGACTCTATGGTACTGTCCGTTACAGTGGCCGAGTGGTTAAGGCGACACCCTGCTATTTCGCAGCTCAGGTGTTGGGCATTGCCTGCGCAGGTTCGAATCCTGTCTGTAACGCTTTCTTTTTATCGTGCTCGATTTTTTATCAGTACTGATGCGGCCCTGAAAAGATCGTTCACCTTCTATAGTGGCCACCATGTCCCAATCGCTTATTGTGTTTGAGCCCTCAGGCAAGGTGCTTCACCAAGTTAATAACAAGATTTCCCCCTTCAACGACCTCATTTACAGCATTGTCAATGACAGCCACACAGAGTTGAATCCAGGCTTTTACACCACACTGGCTTCTCAGAAAAGGTTCTACGCTTTAAAGAAAGCCGGCATCTACGCTGCCGTTTATCTTGATGTTGTCACGACCCTAGACAGCGATAAAGTAAGACAGTGTCTTCTGGATGTCTTGAGGACTTACACGGTAGTCACCGAGGAGGATGAAACAGACTCACTGAAATTGACCAAGCTCATTGACTACCAGTTCAACCAATTGACCAAATTGAAGACTGGCGCCGCTGTGACAGAGAAGGCTCCTGTTGCAGAGAAGTCCACAAAGCCCGAGCCCAAGGAAAAAGCAAAGAAGAAGGGTGCCAAAACTATGAGAAAATGGGTCAATGGAGAGATGGTCGAGGTTCAGGAAAGCAGCATATTGGATTACTCAGAGGGCAAAGGCGACTCGACCGACGCCTTCAGTGGCGCCGAGGAGGCCATCTCTGTGGATAACTCCAACTTTCAAAGAAGAGACGACCTAGTGTTGGTCAGTGAGCTTCAAGATATCTTGGGCGAAGAGAGTGATGAGGACGAGGATGCCCCCAAAACCATGACAAGCACGTTTTTCGGCAAGGTGTCGTCCTACTTTGGCGGCGCTGCCGATATCAACGATGTTTCAAAGAAGTTCTACGACCAGCTCATATCCAAGAATATTGCACCTCCAACAGCCACTGCCATTCTCGACAAGATCAAAGCCAACATAGGGAAGAAAAGTGTCACGGTTACTGAATTCAAGCTGGTGCTCACCGAGGAGCTCACCAAAACCCTTACTCCTAATGTCTCCACCGACCTTCTTTACGATATCAAGCGCAACAGTGCGGGCAAGAAGCGCCCTTACGTCATCTCTGTTGTCGGTGTGAATGGTGTGGGCAAGTCTACGAACTTGGCAAAATTAGCATACTGGTTCTTGCAGAACAACTTGAATGTGTTGATCTGTGCCTGTGATACATTCAGATCTGGTGCCGTTGAACAGTTGAAGGTTCACGTCAACAACTTGCAAAGACTCAATGCCAATTCAGCCACCGAGTCAAAGATCGATTTGTTCGAAAAAGGTTACGGAGGGGGTGATCATGTTGTCAACACTGCCAAACTGGCCATCAATCATGCACAGGAAGAAGGTTACGACATTGTCTTGATTGATACCGCTGGTAGGACACACTCCAACGCTAAGCTCATGGCTCCTCTCAAGAAGTTTGGTGATGCTGCCAACCCAGACAAAATTATCATGGTGGGAGAGGCTCTCGTGGGAACCGACTCTGTGGAACAGGCGGTCAATTTCAACAACGCCTTTGGTAACAGGCGTAACCTCGACTTCTTCATCATCTCCAAGGTTGATACGGTGGGTGATTTGGTTGGTTCGATGATAAACATGGTGATGGCTACCCGAGTGCCTATCTTGTTTGTGGGAACAGGACAAACATACACCGACATCAAGAAGCTCAGTGTTAAGAGCGTTGTTGATATGCTCACTAGATGATCGCATCTACAATTACTGAACTACACCTGCAATTATGGCATTGCACATTAGGATACATTGGGTTTCCAATGGAGAAGAGCATTTAATTCACGAAAGCATAATAGCAGTCGATGTGCCCGACAAAATAGCATTGTCAAGGATCTAGCTTCCGATATTTTACCTGAAGGTTGCCAAAAAACTGGATTCTATAAACTTGCTGCAACTCTATTATTATCAACCCTTGCACCATGCTTGGGACGGCAGATATGGGCACTTTATTTAATAACCAATACACCAATCGAATGCCATAAATAGGTCGAGCTGGCTCTTCTGTAGCTCTAAAAGCAGATTGATCAAGAGACGATGACGGAAAGCTATGCTTCAAAATTTTATAGCGAAGATCAGCCCTACAGACACCTTCCTCGAGCTTGGTTGCAAGGCAGACACACTAAGTATAAGACGCCGTTTAAACCACGGTTCCTGGAGCTCTATGCTCGTTCAATTAGAGAGCTTATTACACTGATGTGGACGAGTTTCTCATTTGAGTTTGGTATAATCTCGGTGATAGAGAGAGGTTTGAGATGGTCGGAGTCCTCAATCACGGTTTGTCCGTTTTGCAATTTACTGTTCTTGAGTGGCAAGATTGGAGACCCAAAGGCGAGTTTTTCCAAGACTACCCTCGATATCAAGCGATCTATGGAAGCATCTTACGTACCTGTAAGAAACTCTGGTGTCAAGCTCATGATTTCAGGGCTGCATTCAATAAGGCACAATTTGTCTGCCGTTTGGGGCAATTATACAATATCGAGAGTTGGTTCCAGGGATCAGAAGACCCTACCCCTGAGATACTACATATCATGAGGATGTGTCTCAAACAAATCTTTGATACATTGGGCGAATTAGAAGGGCAATTACGTCTGATGTTAATTTATTTGCTTCCATTTTGCCTGGAATTATTTGGGGGATGATCAAACAATAAAAAAGAACTTGCAGAGAGTGATAAAATATCTCGATCGTAATCCATGTGTAAATCCACTTCGCTTCTAGACTACAAAAGGTGACATGATCGCTTGCTGAGAAGGACTACCGAAGAAAGATGCCGCAACAGAGATGTACGGGGGAGAATTACCATTTGAGATGTACGTGGGAGAGATACAATTTTTTCAAATTTCGAGGGTATAATTTGTGGTACGGGGTGTATCGAAGATTAGACCCGAGTGACGTATATGAACCGGGACGACAGACCTATTGGTCAGGAAAAATTGAAGTGTTTGATCGCTGGATCGACTCACAATACTTCCTCGATTTGATTTGTATGACAATCGGGTGGATAAAGTTCCGCTTCGCCGAGTTCAAGGAAAAAGCACTTGATAAATCAATCTCGAACGATCAATTGCACTTGGCATTCGGGGGACTTTGCGCAGACCTTCAATGGATTTACGAATATATTCTTGAGAAGAAAACTGACAAGTTGCCCAAGGATTTTGCCAGACCTTTGGAAAGAATCAAGAAAGACGCAGAAATGCTTAAAGAACTCATTCGTGTAGTTCGAACTTACGCCATTGTCCTTCTGGAGCAGACCGATAGGGACCCGATTAAAGACATTGCGCCGCAATTGGATGCCTTCAACTTTTGCGTCCACATTGCACGAGGTGACATTCAACGTGCCTTCGATTTTGGGTATTATTACCCATATAAGAAAAGACGTCCTCCTTACAGTAGTGCAGTCTGAATCTGCGGAGGAATAGTACCAGGCTCTATTCAAGACCTTCAGTCAGGATGAATTGTGTGTTCTACCACGTTAATAAGGTAATCAACAATTCACAAGTACTTGTGTAACTTGTGTAGAGCCAGGCCAAATTGACCATGTCTACCATCAGCTGTATTGACTGTGCTACTGGTGGCTGCTCTATTTAGTTCACATTGCGCAATTGAGCCCTTTTTATCGAGAAAAGTAACTGTATCTCGAGATACAGAGCAGGAATGATGTTAATAGTAGCCATAAGTGACGGCTCTCGAGCAGCAGTAAGAAACGTGTATAGAAAGCCAGACATTTAAAAGTACGTTTGCTGTAGACGTCTCCGTTAAAAATATCCAGCAGAAAGAGTCACGCAGAATATTCGGAGAACATTCAAATACTTCTACAACATCAAGGCCATTGTAAATGAGCGATAGTGATTCCAACGAGGTTTTAAAAGATTTCTCGGTACCCCGATATCATAAGAAACTGGATGAAAAGAGAAAAGTAGCCAGGGCTTTGGCGCTTTCTCAACTGGAGATGCCATCCCTGTGGCTGCAGTTTTCTCTGTTGCAAAGCCATGAAGTCCAACTTATGGGCGAGGTTTGCAAGCTTAAAGTACAAGTGCAAGCACTTGAAGGGCTTTTGCTTCAATATTCGGGCGTGATGAGGGATCAGATGAAGAATTTCACCGAATCAGACATCTTGACAATGCAAACCGGCTTTGCAGCCAACTACAGCGTTCTCATCAAGGCGATCAATGACCTCAGTGAAGAGTCTCAAAGCAAAACATTCATACGTCAAGAGATGAAGAAAATGGTGCAGTTTGGCAGCTCACTCAGGACGCTAATTGACGAAAAGCTTCTCACCATCAAGCGAGACGATAACGGCTTCTGGGTATCAGAAACACTATTTGTGTACCATGAAATTTACAAAATTCTGAGCAAGTTGCAGAGGCACTTGGAAGGAGTCAATCAGCGGTTTGCGCTGGCTTACAGGGAGGTTGTGTCTGAAGGTTGTAAAAGGTACATGGAGTGTCCGAAGCCTGATAATCCAACGTACTGGCAGGAGATACTATTTTACACCGGCAAGTACCACGACGCCAGTTTCTTTGGGTAGTCCATGCGTGAGACCAAGTACTTTCTAACAGTTTCTGCTTAATACCAATAAATAAAACAATCATCTGTAATGGCCGTTTTTCATGAACCTCCTGGTTAGGGTGACCGGTTGGATCTCCTCACTGCTACGTCATAGCTGCGACTGTGCCGGCTCGGCTATGCATTAAGAAGGACGGTGCCATTGTCAAGACCACGGCTAGCAATTGAAGCCGTTTTTTTCCAAATCATCAATTCAAACTTAAACTCCAACGTTCGTAAATTTTCCGTATTTCCCCTCCACTAAACTTTGTGTTTTCCCCATCGAGCCTTCCGTCAGAGCTTATCGTGGAAATCTGCACCGCGCGAATGTTTGCACCCATATCCTGGCCGGCAAACACTGGTATACGGACAAAAAAGACATACACAACATTCTTCCTCTTTCGCTATTCCCTGTGAACGAAAAAACCACAAGTCTGTTCTCCCCTTCCACCTCCAAAATCGTCTTTGTACCTCTGGTGGCCGCAGGCTGTGCGAAAAGCAAAACGGGCTAACCGATCTCCATCGTCAGATCCAAGGGTCCAGCAGGCCATACAACCATGATACTCCGCCGCAAATCGAAAAAAGCTCCCGGCTTGAAGCTCAAGGTCACCGCCTTTCGAGCCGCAGACCTCTGCTTGCCTGAATCGTACAAGGGCAAGCTGGTCAATGCTGCATTGCTAGTTCAGCTCAACAACTTCAAGAAGAGAAGCAGAAGGAAGCTCAACACGTCACACCCGCTGTGGGACGACGAATTCACCATTTCATTGAAAAACGGCGACTGCTCGCAGCTCCTCACGCTTTCCGTCTGGAGCAAGCTGGCCCGCTCTAAAACATACCTAGGTGAGGTCAGACTATTGCTTTCTGAGATCTTCGCTGACGGCACGGCCACACCGGCAAAGTGGTACAAGCTCTTCTCGAGCCGACACGAGCACAGCTTTGTCACGGGGCTGTTGCTTCTATCCTTTGAGCTTTTCGTGAAGGAAGGAATAGAACTCAAAGAAGGCGGCACGCCAGGCCCTCAACTCAAGGTGACTCCGCCCACCCAGCACAATTTGGCCACGGAGTTCCCGTCCACGCCTCCTCGAGAAAGCACGCCTCTAGCGGACGATTTGGCAGCACTAGATGTTTCAGAAACAGAGGATTCACCTACAGACGTGAAACTGGCCTTCAGAGCCTGGCTCGATTCGCTCATGTATAGGGAACTCAGCTCTGTGGCCAATCCGGACGAGCAGAGCTTCTACGCCGACGTCAATGGCCAGATGCTGGACATAGCATTTACCGATGCCTCAGAGGCAGAATCCATTGAGTCGCCCAGGAAACCCAAACGGTCCACCTCGGACTCGAGTCCTCGACAGTTTCTTCAGCACAGTCAGTCTCAGCAGCTTTTTGGCGAATTGTACAAGACCGATAATCACTTGAAGGTTGTTACTGACGAAGGAGAAGACTCCGCTAGTATGTCTGAGGCATCTTCCGCTACTAGTGTGGGCTCCATTTATGCCAGTGAAGGCGGTGGCCTCTATTCAGATAACAACTTGAGTGGTCTGGAAGCTCCCAAAAAACGCAGATTCAGAAAGAAGAGAGTCACGTCCAGCTACAAACTACAGAACAGAAAAGTCAAGGGAGTCCTTTTCGTGGAGATTCTACTGGTTACGGATTTGCCGCCGCTTCGAAACTTCACCAGGACCACGTTTGACATGGACCCGTTTGTCGTGGTGACATTCGGAAAGAAAACCTTCAGAACAAGCTGGAAGCGTCATACCTTGAATCCGATCTACAACGAGCGTCTTGCTTTTGAGATCCTCGAGCATGAACGCAACTATAACGTACAATTCTGCGTGCTTGATAAGGACCACTTCTCATTCCATGATAAAGTGGCAGATGTATCTATTCCAATCTCAGAACTCATGGATGTTGCACAAGAACAGGATATCGAAGCATCTTCAACAGCATCCAAACCTTCTGCCGGCTCAAATGCCAGTACAACTTCCATACCCAGACCGCCCTTCAGCTCTAGTGCCAGCTCCAAAGCTGTTCCTAGTTATATGCTGATTGAGCGCACAAAGCTGGCTAGTTCTCTCGCATCTGTCAACGACACCAGTGGCTCCCAAAATAACGTCATGTCAATGGCCGAGGACCCTAACATTGTGACTACATCGAGGAAGAAAAAGTTCAGAAAGCGCCAATATTCGCTTAAATACATTGACACCTCCCACTTCAAGACTCTTGATCTTGCATTGACCCTTCACAAGGAGAAGCTTGCTGCAAACCATGCCACTACCATCCGCATTCGTGCAAGATATCTCACCTACGAGAACCTCCGAAGAGACTTCTGGGCGATTCTCTTGGAACAGTTCAATGTGAATGAAACTCCAGGGCAGCTCGATTATATCGAACTCATCTCGCTCCTCGACACCCTTGGATGTGACAACAGTGATGACATTGTCACGAAGTTTTTTACTAAACTTGACCGATCACCTTGGGGAGGTGACACACTCTCCCACGATGAAATCATCGACTGCTTGGAAGATTACTTGCTTCACGAATCAGAGGGTCAGATTTTTGAAATACACAAGTGTCCAATTTGCTGCAAGAAGCGTCTCTCGAAGAAGCAGGACCAAGATATCATCACTCACGTTGCCATTTGCGCTTCGAAAGATTGGAGTATCGTCAGCAAGCTCTTGAACTCCTCATTTGTTACTCCACAGGCTGCCTCCAAACGTTGGTTCACCAAAGTCTTGATCAAGTTGACGTATGGAAAGTACGGTCTTGGTAGCAACTCTGCCAACATTTTGGTGCAAGATAGGTCAACGGGTATCATCATGGAGGAGAAGATGAATGTGAGTGTCAGACTTGGTATTCGTCTTCTTTACAAGGGCCTCGACAAGGCCAAGACCCGGCGTATCAGAAACCTCCTCAAAAAGATGAGTGTCAAGCAAGGCGTTAAGTTTGACCTGTCCCAGCTGAAAGCTGACATCAATTCATTCATTAAGTTCCACAAGCTCGACTTGAGCGAGTGCCTCATAAGTGACCCGCTGAAGTTTGAGACCTTTAATGACTTCTTCTACAGAAAGCTTCGACCAGGAGCCAGACCAGTGGAGGCACAGAGCGAGGAGAGAATCGCTGTTTCTCCAGCTGACTGTCGCTGTACCACATTTGTCACCGTTGACAGTGCTACTGAACTTTGGATCAAAGGGCGCAACTTTAGCGTCGCTAAGCTCTTCAATGGTAACTTCATCGGACTTGAAGATACTGACTTATACAGCTCAGGAAAGTGCAGCATAGGTATTTTCAGGTTGGCTCCTCAAGACTACCACAGATTCCATTCGCCTGTGACAGGAAAAATTGGGCCGATTAAGTACATCGAAGGAGAGTACTACACTGTCAACCCAATGGCCATCAGATCCGATTTGGATGTTTATGGAGAGAATGTCCGAGTGATTGTGCCAATTGAGACCGAGCACTTTGGCACAGTTGTTATGGTTGCGGTTGGTGCCATGATGGTGGGCTCTACGATCATCACTGTTGAGGAAGGCCAAACGGTGAACCGGGGTGACGAAGTCGGATACTTCAAATTCGGAGGATCAACCGTGCTTCTTCTTTTTGAAAACAGCAAATTCACGTTTGACCACGATCTTGTTGATAACTCGTCCCTGTGCGTGGAGACCTTGGTGAGGGTGGGTCAGAGCATTGGCCATTCACCCGACATTGAGGAGTATAAGCGTGAGAGAATCGACTTCAGCAAACAGCCAAAGGATATCAAGCTTCACATCATTCGTGCCATCACAGGAGGCGATCTCAACAACATGGAAGAGTTGGGCAGTTGGGAAAGTCAAAACATCAAAATCACCGACGAGGATGTCCGGCAGTTGATGGCAGAAGAGGAGGACGACTTGGAAGGAGATATTGGCAGTTCAGACGAGGAAGGCTCGCTAGACGAGTAATCGAATCATGTTTGTTCAAAGGGGTATTAGTAATGCTTGCATTGAGTACATACATGGGGTTCCAGACCCGGCAGAATTAAAGGCAGCTATGCGTGAGAGTGGGAACATGTCAAGGGCTGATACAAGTCAGCCTCACGGAATCCACGGGACTCCTCCAATATCCTGACATTCCAGCCGACAAAGTCGATTTCATGCCTTATTTTCCAGAGCTCCCTTTGGGCGTCGCCTAGCCAGCGTGGTTTGATATAAAGCTGGGTGGCCACGATAGGCACGATCAAGCCGATGGAAAAACCTAAAAGAGGACCTTTAAAAGAACCAGCAGGCATGGAGTAGCTCTTATGTGGTGGATCTGTGGAGGGGATGGGAGCCTTATATACCCGGGGGAATGGCAACCTGTTTGGCCCCTCCTCGGGAGCTTTGGACGCACCTTGGCATCACAACTCTGCATGGAGTGCATGCTTTTAGAGTGATTTCGGATGGTGCCGAGATAACCGACGCAATTTGCCTTGCTATGATGAAATCAGGCCATTTTCGAAAGTCACATCATTGCATTCTACAACTGTCAGCATTGACTTTGAAGTTTTGCCGGGTTTTCCGGTCGGGTCGACTCGACTCCACGTTTCGGCACATGGCACATGCGGAAACGTGAGAGCACTAGTGTCGTTATCGTCTGCAGGAAATTATGGGGTAAGCCGCACTGGACGCGCAGACGTAGTGAGCCCGGAGAACTACGGAACAACCTAATTTTTGTGACAATTATAATTCCATTACTTCCCACAACTCCTCTCTAAATTATGCTTCCTAAAACTGTTCTGTAAGCGTGTTGGCAACGCGAGTCTATTTCTGTTGCTTTCCTCCGTACAAGGCCTTCCACTCGTCTATCTTCTTCTCGTCGATTCTCTTGAACAAGTACTGGGCCTTGCCGATATTGTGGCCTGGTTCCAAAACAAGCTCAAACTTGTCTGTGATGGACAATGGTGGAGCAGCCAAGGTCTCCAGGATCTGGTTTCTGGTCTCGGGCATGAATGGACAAATGATGGCA